TATTGTAATCATCATCATCATCATCATCATCATCATCATCATCATCATCATCATCATCATCATCATCATCATCATCATCATCATCATCATCGTGAATAATCTGATAGAGCCACTCAAGTCTGCACATCGGGCCAACCACAGCAGAGAAGCAACATTTCGGAGAAAGTTATAAATGACAATGACGTACTTGCTGACTGTGATTCCGGAAAAAGTTGTTGTTTTTCTAAATCTTAAAAATCTCTAAGTAGCTATTGATCTATATCATCTGACCATCAGATTGTATCGAAGCTATTTGATTCGTCTTTTGGAATAACTGGGGACTACCCATAACTGCTTTTGTTATTGACCTGTCAAACTGATATAAAACTTTGTCGATAAAGTTGAAGGGTACAAATAATTCAGTAGATCACAATCTTAAGTATGGGATCCGACAGGGTTCAGTTCTTGGTCCAGTTTTGTTCACCGTATTTTTTTTAAACATTCGGCCACTTATCAAAGAAACAGATAAGTATGACCTAATGTATTATTTTATCATACCTGTGCACCCAGGTTTATTACGGTTCAACAATGTGTACCTTCGTTGGTGAACTTGTCCGTGGTGTTGAAAGTTAAGTTTTCCCTGTTAAAAAACAAAACGGAACGAAACAAAACAGAACCAAACAAAACAAATAAAAATAAAAAGCTGGAGGATCAAAAACAGTCTGGTGTTGAATGATGATGAAATAGAGCTCATTCTGACAGACAGAGTGAAATCAATAAATTCAGCTGACGAAGTTCAAGAAAAGTATCTTTTTAAAGAAAAGGAAAAAAAAAAAAGAAAGAAAGAAAAGAGGAGGAAAATAAAGAGGAATTTTAGCATCTATCTTGATTCCGATTTGTCAGTGCATCTGGGGTGAACCATCTGATCGGTAAAGCTGTACAGGTACCATTTGACTTTCATTCATTCATTCATTCATTCATTCATTCATTCATTCATTCATTCATTCATTCATTCATTCAAATAATCAGGGAGATTAATAAATTGATACATAAATGATTCAAGTCATTTATGTATTCATTTTCTTTTTCTTCTGTCTTTCTGTCTTTCTTCTTTCATTCATTTATACGTTTATTGATTTATTAATCTCCCTGGTATTATTTTGCTATTCTTATCAACCCCTCCCCTCCCCTCTTTTTTATTCGCTTACAGGTTAAAGAACAAGTTGCCTGTCACCTCCCAGGAAAGCTGTGTGTTTAGCGTCTCCATGACAACCGTCACCATGACAACCGCTGCCATGGCAACCGTAAACAGACCGCTGTGGGTTGTCGTCTTCTTACTGTGCGCTGTTTTCCCTTTGCTGGACGCAGGCAACGCCATCCCATTCGACACGACAATCTGTACACCAAGTCAAGTACCAAGTGCGTGATTAAGAAGATGAATAAATGAGTAGTGCGCGTGTGTTTGTGTGTGTGTGTGTGTGTGTGTGTGTGTGTGTGTGTGTGTGTGTGTGTGTGTGTGTGTGCTTTATAACTATTATTACCTTTGCCTGTCACGGTCGTTTTAAGCAAGAAAAATGTTGAAATTATGCAAACTGAGCCCAAAAATGTGAAATTATGCGAATCTGTTAATATTTAACAAAGAATGGTAAAGGAAAATAATCAGAAATATGGCCCCCAAAAAAATCAAATTTTGCTAAATTATGCGGGGACAGCTTGGCTGACATTCCAACTCTAAAAAATATTCTTAGCTTCTAGGGAAGCATACAATGCAAGCAGTTGAATATGCTCTCAAACACTAACAATTAATGGACAAGACTTGGATCATTCGCCTCACCTCACCTCATCTTATCAAACTTCAGCTCACCTCACCCCCAGTTCACCTCACCTTATCGTATCTTATCTTATCTTATCTTATCTTACCTTCTGCCAGTGGTCTCATCTCATCTCACCTTACCTCACCTCACCTCACCTCACCTCACCTCACCCCACCTCACATCACCTCACCTCACCTCACCTCAACTCACCTCACCTCACCTCACCTCATCCCACCCCATATCTCATCTCATTTAGTCTCCTCTCGCCTCACCTCACCCCCACTTCACCTCACCTATCTTATCTTATCTTATCTCATCTTATTTTATCCCCCTCTCCTCCCAGTGGCCTCCCCCTTACCTATACTCGGGGAGAAATACTCAGCAGAGATCCGCTGGACGAGTCACAAAGATCGCCGGATGTACTACGTCAGAGATGACCTGGACACCTTCCGCCATCTTGCTTCTTTGAGGATCAGCATGCCCTTGTTGCCAAGCGACGCAAAGGCCATCTTTGACCTCGATTATGGCTACGTCAGTGTGTTTGATGACGGTGAGGCTTTAGTAATTAAGAATCAAGGACGCTTCTGTCTCTAATCAATTAAGTAATTAATATTTTGTTTAGCGTTTTCTGTTTTATTACTTGTATTTTTTTCTCTCTCTCTCT